GTGTAGTGGTTAGCGCGCTGCGCTATGAACCCGGCGACCCGAGTTCGATTCCCGAGTGACGATTATCTGAACCAGTCCTGGGCCTCCCCCTAGGTCGACTCAGCCCCAAATGAGTACCTGATGCGGTGTTTAAACATCGCCTCTGGGAGACAAAGGCGGTCGGGCGTGGCATGCTGTCCACCCACCCCCTCGTGTACCGATCCGGCCTTCACAGGTGCTCGCTAACAGCACTTGCCCCAACAGTCTGTTAAGGCTATACGGGGAATCTTTGTCTTTGTGTTGAGAGTAGGCGCGTGGTTCACGGGATTGACAGCGTAGCCCACACACTCAGCTGCACCATCGCCGACCACGACCCCTGACAGGAGTCGTCCCAACCCCACGGACCTGCTCCGTCATTGCACTCATCACGGAGGAGCGGTGGCGCAGCGGTTAGCGCACTGACCTATGAACCCGATAACACCTCGTTTATGCTGAGTCTACCGCTGCTGCTGCTGCTGAAGAAGGTGCGCATGGTTCTTCCCCTGCTGCTGCTGCTATTATGGCCAAGTGTTTTTGTTTTTTCCGCTGCGGATGATGATTCTGCTGAAGGTGACGCTGGCGATATTGATCGGGGTCCCTTCCGAACACCCGTCACTGCGGAATGGAAGACGTGGATTAGTGGGGTGCCAAGAGAGAGGGGAGGAGGAGGGAGAAGGCAGAGGAGGTCTTTTATAAGAGTATCTCCGTACATGTGTGCTCACGCCCGTGAGCGGTTCCGGTATAACATCAGCGATCGCTAACTGCACTTGCCCGAGCAGGCTACGCGGGGGACCTCTGTCATTGGTTGCAGAAGTGGCGGCGGGGAGGGGCCGTTTGTTGACGCGGCTCAGGAATGTGAATGTTCTGACAGCGAGAGAGGATGTGGTGATGGTGGTGGTCATGGTGGTTGTTGGACAGTAGCCTCGCGATCAACTGCGCAGGTGGTGCAACTGCACAGGGACCCACAGGCCGGAGAGAGGGGGGCCCGAGAGGTGGGAGGGGGGGGGGGGCTGCTGCCAATGGGGGAGAGGTAAAATTGGACAGTGGGGGACCCAGTTTCATCCATTCACCAGGGCCCATGCCAACGACCCCAACCCACTGAGACCCATAGACTTACAAAGAGACCCATAGACTTACAAAGAGACCCATAGACTTCAAATGCAACCATAGACCTGTATTCAGACCCCATAGGCTTACAATGCAACTATAGACTTGCATAGAGACGCAAAGACTCACAAGCCACCCATAGATTTCCATGGAGACCTATGGACTTGCATAGCGACCCAGAGACGAGGCATCACCGGTGGTGCTATTGTTGTTATTGACGGCAGTGGTGGTGAGGATAACGATGGAGATGAGAGAACTCTAGTGGCGGTGGTAATAGTGGTGGTGAGGATGACTATAGTGGAGAGTGGCGATGATGGTAGTGGTGATAGTGGTTGTGGTGGTGGTGGTGGTGTTGGCAATGGTGGTCGTGGTGGTAGTGGTGATACATGGTGGTGGCGATGATGATGGTCGTGGTGGTAGTAGTGATAGGTGGTGGTGGCGATGATGGTAGTGGTGATAGTGGTTGTGGTGGTGGCGATGATGGTGGTCGTGGTGGTAGTGGTGATAGGTGGTGGTGGCAATGATAGTGGTTTTCGACAGAGACAGACAGACGGAGAGAAGACTAAGAGCAGAAAATGGGACGGCGATAGGGTGAGACAGCCAAAGACACGAAATACAAAGATCCCCCGTATAGCATTTAAAGCCTGTCGGAGCAAGTGCTGTTATCGAGCACCTATGAAGGCCGGCACGGCACACGAGGGGGTGGTTGGTCAGCACCACGTCCGACCGCCTTTGTCTCCCCAGTGGCGATGGGTTTTTTTTCTACACACCGCACCAGGCACTCATTTAAGGCTGAGTCGACCTAGGGGAGGCCCTAGAACGGTTCGGATAATCGTCACTGGTGTTGGCCGTGAGCGGGAATCGAACTCGAGTGGCCGGGTTCACTCCCGCTCCCCAGACGCGGAAAAACAGACACAGACACACACAAAGACAATAACAACAACAACCGCCATTCGCCACCTATTGGCGGTGACGTCACCACGACGCTTGTGCCAGGCTGTGTGCACGTTGAGGCCAGGTGAAGTGTCGAACGCCCGCTGGCAGGAGGTCACGGGGCAGACCCAGGTGCCACGGGTCGATTGACTGAGATGACTGGCCGATGCACCACCTGTGCCCCCTACTGTGCCAACTTGCTGTGCTTTAGCCGCACGGCGCTCAGCTCGTTGTTGTGAGCGTCGCTCCTCTGCCCTCCGTTGTTGTTGGAGGGCGATTGCCTCCAACTACCCAGTAGCAGCGTCCTTCACGAGCCTCCTCCACAGAGGCCGATCTTGACACCGCTGGTACCAGTCATCGGCAAGTCCACTCAGCTCCACGTCCTCCTGTACCACATCACTCCATCTCTTCTCTAGCCCGTGCCGCGCCCGTTTAGCCCCCTCTATCCGGCCGAACAAAAGCTGTTTAGGCATGCGGTGACTGGGCATACGGGCTACATGACCCAGCCAACGCAGCCTTGCCTACCGGAGGAGCTCACCGATGGGACTTTGCCCAGATCGTTCAAGGATTTGTGAGCTTCTCCCACAATCCAGCCTGGTTAAACCCAGGATGGATCGTAGGCAGGCCAGCCTTAATGTGACTAACCGGCGAATATGTTTTATTTGGGGGGTCCACGTTTCGCAAGCGTCGAGAATGGAAGGGCATGACTGACCGTGAAGACCCGCAGCTTCGTGTGGAGCGACAGACCAGGTAGTTTTCACACAGCGTTACGCAACCGAGACACGCACACACGGACACACACGGAGACACACACACACGTAGACAGACACACACGGACACACACGGAGACACACGGCAATCTGCGCGTCAAAGTTACGTGCGATTCATATTTTGCTTTGAGTAGAGAGAGCGAGGAGGGAGAGAACAACTGAAACAAACAACACGAGACTTGAGCGAGTGAAAAAAAACCGAGAGGGTAGGCCGGGACGGACGGATGGAGGGGAATGAGGGCAGAGAGGGTGGGTGGGTGGGAGTGAAAGAGGCAGGGAGAGTGAGGGAGAGACACGAACTCTCCCTTTCTCTCTCTGCTCTCCAGTCAACCCGTGCTAAATACAGTGGCCATGGCGCTGACTCTGCATCCTCACTCAGCCTGGCACAGCGTGACGTGACGGGGTCTTCCAGAGAGATGGGAGGTGGGAGGGTGATGGAGAGGGAGGGGAGAGTCAAGCAGAAGGGGAGAGGGGGGGCTGGCGATTCGTCGTGCGTCTGATCGTACATGCCCCCCCCTCGTGCGCAGTACCCGCAATCATTGATCCTCGCGAACAGCACTTGCCCCCAACAGTCTGTTAAGGCTACACGGGGGATCTTTGTCTTTGTAGTGAACGTGTGTGCAAGAGGGGAGTGGAGTTGGTGGTGGGCGCACTGCGCCATGAACGCGGCGATTCCCGATCACGACCGATGGCAGCGGAAGCGGTTATTTGAAAACTGGACACGGACCCCACCCCCCCCCCCCTAGGTCGACTCAGCCCGAAATGAGTAGCGGAGTAGCCGGTGCGTCGTTGCGTCAACGTCAGCACTGGGGAGACAAAGGCGACCGGGCGTGGTGCGGTATAGCCACACACGCGCGCAACTCCTGCGCGGCCGCGTCTGCTCGCAGCAAACTCGCCCCGACAGTCTTTGTCAAGGCTCTGGCCGGGATCCCTTTGTCTCGAGTGCGTGGCCATTCATCGTCTGCTTCGCGTGCCGCCGTGTGCGCTGCGTGGCCGTGTGCTCGGTGACGCTATCGGAACGTACCCGACGAGTCCCACCCCCCCCCATCGCCACCAATCTCTCTCTCTCTCTCCCGGCGTGTGCATATTTATTTATACCTCGTACGCGTGACGGCGTCTCTCCTTCTTCCTCGCCCCGTGGGGGTAGGGGGGGGGAGGTGGACATGCATAAGCATGCGACTCTCTCTTCTGCGCGTTGTGCATATGCATGCGCGTCTGTGCCCGTCTGTGCGTGACGCGTCGGGGAGTTGGCGGCTGGCTGGGTGGGTTTGGTTTTAACGACGAGGGGGGTGCTGAGCGTCTGGGCACGGGGATGGACTTGGCAGCTTTCCCGACAGCGACAGAGGGAGGGGTTGAGATGTGGGTGGAGTGGGGGGTTAGAGAGGCGGTGGAGGAGGGTAGGAGTACAGCCGTGTGACGGTGACTACGGATGAGGAGCAGGAGGAAGATGGGTGGGTGAGTGTTGGGGAGGGTTACGGAGATGACGCGAGCGAGGGAGGGAGATGGCGAGAGAGGGCAGGGCCGGGGCTTGTGGTGGTGGTGGTGTGGCGAGAGAGAGAGAGGAAAGAATGATGACGCTTACGAGGGAGAGCGAGAGAAAGGGAGGGCTGCTGCTGCTACTACTACTGGAGGTGGCGCTGATGATGATGGTGGTGGTGATGGGTAGGGAGGGAGAGAGGGAGAGGAATGAGGGCGGGGAGGAGGAGGGGGAGGAGGTTGCGCGGCTCCACACATCGAGGGCCGTCGTCACAGCGCGCATTCAGACGCCACTGCCCGCCGTCACGTGTCTTGCTATTGTCGATCTCAACGTCGTATGGGTAGTAGTTTATATTTATATTTATCTGTATGTTACTTTTACGCTTATTAAACTTGCGTCTTACGCTTTGTTCTCGCCGTTTCTGTAAGTTTGTTATTTTGGTTTAGTGGGGGGGGGGGGTTCAAGATTGTAAACAAGCCCCAAGCCGTCTCTGCAGCAGCGCAAGGATTCCTCTTCCCGGGCTGGTCGACCCCTCCCCTCTCATCCCCCCACCCACCCCCACCCCTCCTTAAACCCCCGGCACAGAACAGATTCCTTTACCCCCCTCCCCACCACAGCAGCCCCTCCCTTCCTGCCTCTCACCCACCCAGACCTCGACTCCCTTAGCTCCCTCCTCCCCGTGAACCCCTCCTCCTCCCTCCCTCCTCCTTCCCCCCACCAATCCCCCCCCCACCACCGTGTGCCACCACCACCACACTCCGTCTTACGCCTCCTCCCACCCTTGCTCCCTCCCCCGATTCTCCGCGCGTTCGCTGTGCTCAAGGCGAGAGTTGAACCGACTTGACTCGGGAGTTGTGAAGGCGACAGAGTAGAGGAAGGGGGGGGGGGCGTTGTTGTTGTTGCTGCAGCGAGACTTGGAAGTGCGTCGTAGTGGTTACGACAACATCACCATCACCACCACCATCACCGCAACAACAACAGCTCCGGCCGAAAATAAACGGCGACTAACGCAGCGACCATGGCTTCGGCGGCCACGTCGCGTCGACAGTCTTGCTATCTGTGCGACCTTCCGCGCATGCCGTGGGCCATCATCTGGGACTTCTCGGAGCCCGTGTGTCGTGGCTGCGTGAACTACGAGGGCGGGGACCGCATCGAGTTGGTCATCGAGGCCACGAGGGCCATGAAGCGAACCCACGGCTTCCAGGATCACCGGCGGTCGCCTGGACCCATGGCTCAGCATTCGGGCCCCAAAATCGTCAAAGAGCTGTCGGCGTCTTCCGCGGGACTTGCGTCCAGCCACGTGGATTGTAGGGGTGGCAGCTTGCAGCAGCAGCAGCAGCATCAGCAGCACCAGCAACACCAACAACACCAGCAGCAGCAGCATCAGCACCAGCAGCACCAGCAGCAGCAGCATCAGCAGCAGCAGCAACACGAGAGGTACGCGCGCATGCTCGAGTACCAGCCCGTGTCGCTGAGCCGCATGCAGGCGAACGGTTTGGCCGCGGCTGTCGTGGGAGTCAACGGACTGGGCCACGGTTCGCACGGCTCTTCACACGGCAGCAGCAGCAGCAGCAACAACAACGGCGGCGGCGGCGGCGGCGGTAAGGGGTCCAACAACGAAGATCCACCCGAGCTGAACCGACAAAGTCCCACTCCGCCCCGCAGGGCGGTGTCCATCGCCGCCGTAGCCGCCGCCGCGGCGGCCGCTGCCGCAGCCGGGCAGCCACCGAACCTGTTGCCCCACGGGCTCATGAACGGCCCCGGGGGCACGCAGCTTGCCGTGCACCCGTTGCTGGCCGGCGGCGGCGGCGGGGTGGTGCCCGTCAACAAGCGCGTGTCGGTGGAGCACGAGCACAAGGGTCTGCCCCCCGAGATGGGTGCAGGAGACGGGCTGCACGCGCGCGGTGGCCACCGCGTGGAGGACCCCTGGGTCATGGCGAGCGGGGTCGGGAAGCCCAAGACGGTGCGCGAGACGCTCATCTCGCTCAACGGGGGGTTCGAGAGCAGGTTACGGAAGGAGCACTCGCTCCTCGGCAGAGTCTTTCCCTTCGACGGAGGTGCCAAGCAAGGTGAGTTGGGGGGGGGGGGGGTGCGAGCGCCTGTGTACACGTGTGTATGTGTGTACACGTGTGTGTGTACACGTGTGTATGTGTGTACACGTGTGTGTGTGTACACGTGTGTGTGTGCACGTGTGTGTGTGTGCACGTGTGTCTCTACACGTGTGTGGGGGGGGGAGCGGTGGTGTAGCGGTTAGCGCTACGCTACGCTGCGGACCCGGCGGGCCGAGTTCGATTCCCGCTCACGGCCAACACCAGTGACGATGATCGGAACCGACTCTGGGCCTCCCCTAGGTCGACTCAGCCTCAAATGAGTACCTGGTGCGGTGTGTAAACAACGCCACTGGGGAGACAAAAGCGATCGGGCGTGGTGCTGGCCACCCACCTCCTCGTGTACCGTTCCGTCTTCACAGGTGCTCGCTAACAGCACTTGCTCCAACAGCATCTAAAGGCTATACGGGGGATCTTTGCCTTTGTGAGAGAAGAGAGTGCACGTGTGTGTGTGTCGTTTAGTAAAAGCCTTGCAAGGTGAGAGTGAGATTGTGAAAGCGAGCACGTGTCTCCTTGTGTGTGTGTCATAGAGTAGCCTCATCAGAGCATCTGTCAACAGGACGGAACTGCACCACGTCACCTTGATAAATGGAGTTACTCAAGACACGAGCCACAGTGGTTCGACTGTGGCCATTCAACCCAAACTCTGGGACCGCACAGTAAACCCAATGTCGTTTGCGCTTCTTGAGCGAAGGAGATTAAGCTGAAAAACTATCACTAATTCTCCGTGGCTCGCAGATCTCGACATTTGCATCTAGCTCATGCACATATTGCCATACACAAGAAGATAAACATCTACAGAGAGATGCATAGATATGCGCAGACACCTGTGAGGAAGACATTGAGATACAGATACACTTAAATAAATCGACATTAAAGACAAGCCCGCAGTGCGGTTATGGCTACCGTGCCTCCCACAAACGATGGACCGTACAGTAAACAACAGCAGTCTGTGCTATGTAAACTATTTTTTTTATTTTACCAGGTAAGGCCCACTGAGCTATGTAGCTCTCTTTTTTTCTGAAGCGAGCCGGCCACAAATGATAGCTCAACGAAGTTGGCTTATCACGTGGACATTTAGAGCGGCCAAATACTCTAAACGAGTGGGTTTTTTTAATTTTTAATGTGGAGGGGCGTGGAGAAAAATCCTCGCGACCACGGCGATAGAGACACCCACAGACTCCAAATATACAGCGGCAGGCGTCAGTGGTTGGGATGGGCCTCATTCAATCGACACGAACTCTCTCTCTGCCACTGCAGATGTCTCGCCCGCACAGGTTTTACTCCGTATTCTCGTCCGGGGAAATCGAGTGTTGAGGCTCACACGGCGTACAGCCGTTTCAATACGGGGCACCAACAACAACAATCTATTTGTGTTTCTCCCTTGTCGGACGAACGATGAGATGTATAGGGGGCACGCGGGTGACCAATTGGGTCTGAATTGGTCTGTAACAAGGTAGGGCACTGATAAGGGGTTGACGGGTAAATATGCTCTGCTGAAGCTCTGTCGTCGTGGCCAGCGTCAGAATCAGCCATCGACGTTAGAATGTATCCCACCGAACCGCATTACTGCGTCCATCCGTGCGCGAGAATGGAATTGTGGGTGCGGGAGTCGTAAGTGACCTTGCAGTGTTGGAGGGAGAGCGGTGTTGATCCTGTGAGAGCGGGGACGTGTCTCGGTGTGACGGTGTCTGTGGGCCTTCATAGGTGCTGCTGCTGCTCGCTAACAGCACTTGCCCCAAACAGCCTGTTCAGGCTACACGGTGGGGGGGTCGGGGATCTTTGTCTGAGCTTTGTGTGCGGTAGTGGCGGCGGTGGTGTAGCGCTTAGCGCGCTGCGCTCCGAACCAGGCGACCCGGGTTCGATTCTCGCTCACGGCCAAAACCGGTGACGGTTATCCGATATCGGTCTTGGGCATCCCGTGGGTCGACTCAGCCTCAAATGAGTACCTGCTGCGGTGTGTAAACATCGCCACTGGGGAGACAAAGGCGGCCGGGCGTGGTGCTGGCCACCACACCACCCCTCGTGTGCCGTGCGGGCCTTCATAGGTGCTGTTCCCGCTAACAGCACTTGCCCCAACAGTACGTGGAGCCTACACGGTTGGGAGGGCGATCTTTGTCTTTTGTTCCGTGCGAGATGGACGGATACAACTATTTGACATTCTACCGTTCACCGCTGACGATTCCCCCGGGGCTAGAATCACCACCGTCAGAGGAATGTAGAATTTCCAGTACAGTGCAGGGATAGGGGGGGGGGACCTCCACCTGGCGTCGTTTCGCCTCCGTGGCCTGAATGGTCCTGCTGCTCGTGGAGACTGAACATCGCTTGAACAACAACAGATGAGCAATCGGGGTTTCATTTTCCTCCTATTATTATTATAATCTCCACACATTTGTCTATCCACGTTGACACGCGCACACAAAACAAAGTATTGTCGAGGCAACGCGTGGGTGCCACGGCCTTCTGGGATCGCACGGGTTCAGTGCGAGCAACACGCCGGACCGCTGGCTCTTCTGCGTGCCGTGAAAGAAGGGACGTTGCCCGAAACGTCGACTATATATATTTTTTGTTGCTTTGAGTTTCGTCGATTGTTGCGGCGAGCGAGCACCACGGCTCTCTTCGCTTTCGTCCTGCTTGCCTGTCGGAGTGTCATTGGTTTATTTTGGTACGTTGTCCGACGTTTCGTAACGCGTGCTTGAGAGCTTGTTCAGGACCCGGTAGGCTTCAATTCTGCAGCAACTCCCATCGTGCCGAACAACACGCGTTGCACGGCCCGAATCGCATACGCACACACACACACGTCGGAAAATTCACCAAACAGCCGTCTGCCGTCCCCGCCATAAGAACGTGGAATTCCCGTCACTCGCCGCTTTTGAAGTTGATTCCCTTCAAACATCCGAGCCGTGCAGGCTGGGGGAATGTAATAAACTTACCGTGTTACTGCGGCTTGCGGTGTGACAACAACGAGCGGAGCGCCGGGCGGCTCAAACGCAGAAAGTTGGCACAGTCGGGGGCATCTGCGGCAAAGAGCTTTATAGCTCATCGGATTCCTCCTGTATGAATACATATTCTCATTCTGCATAATCATCTCAGTCGGTCAACCCATGGCACCTGGGACTGTCCCGTGACCTCCTGCCAGCGAGCGTTCGACACTTCACGTGGCACTTAAAGTGCACCTAGCCTGGCACAAGCGCTGGGGCGACGTCACCGCAACCTCGTGGCGAATGGCGGTTGTTGTTGTTGGTGGTGTGACTCGGGGGGAATCCTGACGTCTTAACGCTGACTGCACGTGAAGGGGAGGGCAAAAAGCCGAAGTGCCCGGAGAAAAGTCGCGGTTCCACGTTTCCATTCACAGCGAACCGCCCTGCTTATACCTGCCGGTGTACTCTGTTAATCGTTAAAAACATATAAATATATACGACAGTATTGAGCGCCCTCTGTTTCACGCTGGAGGTTAAAAAAGATCCCGCGATTTAATTCGCTAAGGGCAGGCCATTGTGTGCCACATTTAGCTAACATTGGAAACACACACCACAGTTGAACGTACACACACCACAGTTGAACGTACACATACACACTCCGCAGTTGAACGTACACACACCGCAGTTGAACGTACACACACCACAGTTGAACGTACACACACCACAGTTGAACGTACACACACCACAGTTGAACGTACACACACCACAGTTGAACGTACACACACCACAGTTGAACGTACACACACCACAGTTGAACGTACACACACCACAGTTGAACGTACACACACCACAGTTGAACGTACACACACCACAGTTGAACGTACACACACCACAGTTGAACGTACACACACCACAGTTGAACGTACACACACCGCAGTTGAACGTACACATACACACACCGCAGTTGAACGTACACACACCACAGTTGAACGTACACACACCGCAGTTGAACGTACACACACCGCAGTTGAACGTACACACACCGCAGTTGAACGTACACACACCGCAGTTGAACGTACACACACCGCAGTTGAACGTACACACACCGCAGTTGAACGTACACACACCGCAGTAGCAGCTATCATCGCCCCCTAGTGGCCACTTCGTCTCCAGGGAACTCTTGCAAATGAGACTCATCCTGAGACTCATCACAACTGGTTGAACAAAATAAACACAAACGTCTAAGAATGAAACGATGTTTGTTTACTCCATCATCGCCATCATCGACATCATCATCCTATTGGCTGTCCAGACGAACATTATCAATCGGCGTTTGTTTCATGGAACAAACCCCGGGTTGGTTTCCACCTTCCGGGCCTCATCAGCAGTGCCGAGCCCGCCAAACAGATGCCGCTGTGTCGTTCGCGGCTGTCAATGCTACACATTGTAACACGATCGTCGATGCCATTAACGGGTGCGCGATCAGTCTCGGATGCGGTGCACACATTTCTACAACCGCGATTCCGATGCGATGGAACGTTCGGCAGCGAAACCACCCTTCGGAAGTGTCTCGCGCCGCGATGCACCGCTGACGGACCGGACCCCTGTGGCCCTCGCTCGCTCGCTCGCTCTCTCTCTCCTTCGACGTCCCCGTCCCACGCACGCTCCCGACGAGCGCCAGTGACGACGACGACGACGACGCCGCCTTCTGTGCGCGCTTCTCGCACGCGCCCTGCCATCTCGGCCGCTTTCGAAAACGGCAAAAGCGGCGTGCGCCCCGAAAAACAAGGAGGGCCTTTCTGGTGTCATCGCGACGTGCCAAGCGCCCCGAGAGTTGACCCTGAACACTGCATTAGAGCGCTGTGTTATGCCACGGAGGGGGCTTTTTTTTTGGAGGAGAGGGGGGGGAGGCTCGGATCGCGTAATAAATATATAAATGTGTCGTTGAACACGCCAAGCACACGCCGCAGCCAATCGGTGAGGTTCGGCACGTCAGCAACACATGGCAATTGCGTGACTAGTTCAGCACACCGCTTTGTC